AATAATTTGACGGGCTGCAAACTGGTCATATTCTGGGTGCATGTGCCTTGAAAAACAAAGTAGCAGATAGCTGCCATTGCTTAAGAGAAATTAAATGAAAACTAATAGTTCATTACTTTCAATTACAATAATGTCACTGCCAAATTAAGGTTAGTAATTAAACAAAAACACACACACAGATGCACCGCTCAGGTACAAATTAGTTTTCAACATGCCAGTGACATTCTCGTCAAACCCAAATACCGTGACACAATAGACAGGCATAAGCAACTTAAGTCTGCAGTAAAAAGGTGGCAGGCAGGATGAGTGCTGTAGGTCCTTCCACAGTGGCTGAGATGGATGGAATGACTATATATTGTTAATGAAGACAAAAATGAGTCCAAGCCAGCATCAGTATTGTGTGTGGGCGTTTGAGCTGGAGCCGTATGTGACTCAATGTACCAGTCACTGTTACAGAGATAGGTGTGAGGTGGTCCATACGTCAACAGGGCCTAATTGAGAGTTTCACGTTCGTTCTACACTTGCTCCTGACACAGCGCCCCAGGGCCTATTGTGAGAACGCCAACTTCATGTCACAAAGAAAATGAGAGCTATGGATGATAAGGGGAGCAGAAGTTTATGCTTTTTTATTTCCTCGGGCTGATTTTCCCCATAACTTTTAAAGAACTCAAGCAGCAGTCTTCCTCTTAAACAGCGCAAATGGAGGTGGCCTCAAGGCTGAAGTGACAGACTTTTGACCCCCGAGTAGTTGTCCATCAAATATCAAGTAGTTCAGTTATGACTAAAATAAATAAATAAAATAGTGATAAACAAGTCATTACCAGTGTCTAAATATATGCAATATTTTTGTTTGCATTTCAGTAAACAAACATTTTCTATTCATTCTCAATACTTGACACTCAATTTATACTTGAAAAAACATATAATACAATTTAATTAATAGTTTTACCACATTATCTTAGTAGTTCTGATATAGATCCAGACCTTTCTAAAACTATTTAGTCTATCTCATTACACCAGCCTAATGATAAAACACTTGTACCAGGAAGAAACTTGTAGCTGATTTTGAAGATTCCATCCATAATTATTAAATATCTATTAAAGCCACTTATCAACCCCTGATGGTGAGAATTATTTCACCCCCATTCTTATAATGTTAAAAAGTGTTTTCAGAAATGCCTAGATTCATATGGTTTTCCAGATCAACAACAAAACACAATCATTTCAATTACTCTGACCATTACCAACAAGTAGGAGTGGGAACTACCACCATGTACCTCAAAACTAAATACATCAACTGTTCCATACTTAGGCAAATATTTCAGCCGGAAAAAGTAAGTGTAGCTCTTTTCTCTTTCTGTAATTTAAACAGGTCGAGGAGTTTAATGGGCGCTGGAGGCTTGGTAAAAAAGAAAATAGATAGGATTAATGCATGAAATTTGAAAGTCAAAACTTTGGAAGATTTATAATACTAGTGGTGAATATATCAAAAATCACACTTTGTCAGAACATTTGGGCAATGAGAAGCAGGTGTAGTGCTGGGTAAAAGGTACGTGTGTGTGCACTGACACACACCCACACACAATTACTATCTACGCAGCACTTTGTTCCCTGGGGCGGACCACGGAGCCGTCAAATCCACTCTGATTCTGAATTAGCAGTGATTGGCTGTCATTGTAGGGTGTCCCACACAGCTGAGACCACTCATACTCCACTCACACTCGTACAGTTTCATATGGCCAGGGCGTCATGTTTCAGTAAACTGCCAAGCTTCCCAGTCTGTAACTAGGGCTGTTTTAAGAGCTGCGGTTTAGCATAGCTGTGCATGTGTGTATGTTCACATCTGTATACGTGTATAACAGCGGTGAATGTGGCAAAGATTTCAAAGTGTGTGATAGTACAGTTCTTAAAAGTACATAACCATGCTGTCCCTGTAGATTGCTTTCAAATGACTTTACACAGAATATATATATATATATATATATATATATATATATATATATATATATATATATATATATATATATATATATATATATATATATATATATATTTTTTTTTTTTTTATCATTTACTCACAATCTTTTTTTTTTTACTGAACTACCCTTCCATGTTTTTGTTTTCCTGTTTTCCATTTTTCAGGGTCATGCATGATTGTAGTCTGCTCACACTTGGAGCTACTATGGATCTGGACAACGAACAGTAAGACACAGTCAGATATTTTACTATACAGGGAGACACATTTGAATATATCTCCATATGAGTGAAAAACTGGTATAGTAAGAAAGTCTATATAGTCCTTCCATAGTATTGGTTTGTATCTAAATGTATTCTATAAGTGTACTATCATAGCATTTTTCTAGCTAGAGTGAACTAACAAAATAGTTGTGTGCCAACAACAACCAAAGAAAGCTTATTTTCCTCTATAGTTATATTTCTAATTGGGAAATTACACAGGTTTTGCATAAATATCACTTTTATACCACAAACATGCAAGCTGAGAGATTGGCCAGTCCAAAAACAGCAGTCCCACCCATGTTCAGAGAGATGCACTGGTGCCAGCAGAGCCTCGTGTGGCTGCATCAGCAGGGCTTTACCAGCAGTTTGGCTTGGATCTGTGTCCAACAAACTCACATCTCCAGTTACAAATGTGTTGCAGTGAGCATGACCCCTGTTCTCTAATCCAAGATGATGGGAACTGCAAAAATAAGCAAACGAGAAAGCGGGAGGTGGTGTAAAAAAGTCTGAATTCTATTAAAGTTTTCAGACCAAAAGTAGATTCCATCTTTAGAGGCCGCACAGATCGAGTTTCATTGCAAACAGCAGCCCATTTATTCAGCTCTGAACATTTGGGCCAGGACACACATTTTGTGCATTAGCGATATGTTCATGTACAGTGTGTGAGTGTTGGATAAATGGTATTTCCCTTGGACATTACCTCTACCGCCTTACTCTCATCAGTGAAACGTGAGTGCCATCTAGTGGTAAAATACTGAACCGCATGTAAAAATAAATAATTTGACAGTGCAGGCATTAGTATGGACGATAATGTAAAATCTTTGTTCCCAGGCTCCAATGCATTAGCTTTACCAGGTCAGTTTAATGAATTCCAACTTTTGGTGACACTTTTAATTCTTTTGACCTTGTGAAGTCAGTTTATTACTCTGCATTGATGTTGTGACAGAAGAAGTAGCCAGAGTAAGTTATAGTAGTTATAGCAGTGGCAATGGTATAATGATAATAACAGATTATATTACATCTATAAGGTGAGAGCAAGTTAATTTATAACAATAATTCACATATTTGGACATTATCCACCCAAGTCATCTTCACATGTAATGTCTTTTACATTTGTATTTATTTACCTAAGTAGCATTTTTAAAATAACATTGACCTGTGTGTTTCATTGTATTTTACCTCTGATGATTATTTCAAGACATGCTTATACATATAGTAATTCAAACCATGAACATAATATATACAGAATCCAAAAACTACAATAAGTGATAAAACTGAAAATAAAAAGGAACAGAGTAAAACCACAGATTATGAATAAGGCTCACATACACGAGAAGCATGTGCTTTGTGTGATTAAAACAATCCACCCATGTCCACCTATGACTGAACCTACAGAGGGATTATACTGGTCACACTAGAAAGATCAAGACAAACAGCAGAGTAGTTATGATTGAGACATGCCAAAACAAAGATAAACATCTAAATCTATATTTGGTAATTAATTTGGGCTCATCACTTTTGCCCATGATCTTACTGTAAAGTAATGTTTTAAAACTTTTTTTTTTTTTTTTTTTTCTAATTTGCTTGAAGACTAAAATTGCCCCAATCTCAAATTTTGCCTCTGTAAATTTTGCTTAAAGATGCACTGTGTAAATCTTCTGGAGAAGGGTCTGTTATCTGCTTGCCACCATGGAGATGTTGTTGTTTTGCCTCAAATGATCTACAATATCAACCTAAAATGAAACCTATCTAACTACCCAGAAACAAGTTGATGCCACCAGGTCATGTTATAGACCTGGGGAGTGGTTACCTTGCTCATAGTTAGAAGAATGCAGTGTTCATATAGCAATTTAAACACACCTAATTGAATTAACACATGATGATAAGTTTAATGTCACACTGTATAACATTCCACAGCAAAGCAATTACATCTTCATGGAGACAAGCAGTTGGAGACATCAGACTCCAAAGTTGCATAGTGCACCTTTAAAACTTAATACTAAATCACTTCTATTCTATGGTTTCAGTTTTAATCATCCTGAATGGGTCATGACAAATTTGTTGTGATTTATTACATTTTTACATTATGTGAATTACTATTTAATTCTGACAATCTTGATTTTCTGAGAAGGGGACATATTTTCAAGTCTGGTACTGTAATACCATCTAAAGGCCACTAGAGTGCACAATATACTATTGTAAAAGAACAGTGTAAAAGTTGCATTGTGGCGTGCTATATTGTGTTTTATCTTAATTATTTTTGTTTAAGTATTTTATTTTATTTTATTTTATTTTTTTTAATAATTAAAAACTGTTTAATTGTATTATTTTAGACAGGGCAAACAGAGGTAGCTTCATGTAATTAGGTACATTTTAATTTTAGGCAACAAAAATAATCAGATGAATGTAAGGCAAGTCAAGTCAATTCATCATAACAAATCATCAAGTTGTTGCTCAAGTTGTACTCTTTTAACAAAGCAGTTCACATTTTAACCTCATGAAGCGCACCTGAGTGTGGCAGTGCCAGGCCTGAATTAAGAAGTGTGCCCTTTTAAATGATGTCATTTTAAAGTTAATGTACTTTGATTTTACAGCTGTAATAGACTTTAATTATCGATTCAAAAATAAAGTGCCCTCAATAAATTATTAACTTCACTTGTATTGGTTTACCTGATTCTCTGATACACTGGAACAAGGAAGTGGAAACATAAACCAGTCTGGCCACTCTCAAACACCTTTGACTTGCAAAGGTATATGCAGGTGGTGTCCATTCATATGAACAGCTCCAACCAAAGCAGGAAGGCTGGCACAGCAAAAACATGGCTAAAAAGATATTTGTTTTCCTCACCCTTTTTGGATTTATTACCATGACTGCTTATGTGGTGTTCCTCTATGGTAGAGATGCCAAACTTTTACCCTTACATATGATCATTACAACCCAGCATGAATTTTGGAAAAACTACACCGGCAAGACAAATGAGACAGAGTCAACGGCGGTCACAACTTTGCCAGATTGTCCTGAGACACCGCCAGACCTGAAAGGACCTCTGCGAGTGGAATTTAACTTTAAGGTGAAGTTGGATGATTTGAGAAATAAATATAGTGGGACTCTTCAAGAAGGGGGACAATACAAGCCACCAAACTGCATGTCTAAGCGTAAGGTAAGACAGTATTAATTTTGCCCTGTTTTATTAGAGCCTTGTGCATTTTATATGGAGGTTATCACCAAACCCTCAGGTTTCTGGTAACCATCCTTCATATTCTATGTATTCATATTTTAAGTTTCTCCAATTGAATGCCATACCATGGAACATTCCATTCAAATCAATAACATCTCCCCTAGAGTACCTTTAAGATTACATTTTACCTTTTGTCTTAATACCCATCTAATTTCAAATGGAATGTCCTTTATGGTATGTTGTAGAGAATGAGAAGGAGGAATTTTGTTATGCCTTTAGGGGCCCTAAAAGTACTGCTGTTGCTGCTAATAGTTCTATTATATACAGTACCTGCAGCTATTCATGTCGAAGTCAGGGTGCTGTCCCTGGCTTTATGCACAGCTCGCTCTGTCAGTACGAGGTGAGCAGGCTGAAGTACGTCTTATAGCCAGTGTTCGGGAGTAACAGATTACATGTACCGGCGTTACGTAATCAGAGTACAAATTATGAGTAACCGTATTCAGTTACAGTTACTGTTTCCATGAGTGGTAACTGGATTACAGTTACTTTGTTGAAATACATGGATTACATGGCGGTATTTTCCTGTTTCCACATTTTGGGCTAAACCAGGACTAAAACCAGGGCTAAACCAGGTCTAAAACCAGGACTAAGCCAGGACTAAAACCAGGACTAAACCAAGTCTAAACAATATGACACCTAAGGGGTATAAAGGCCCGGAGCAAGAAGAGTGACCAGTGGGTCCACCGCTGCAGCTACTTTTGTTGTTTATTTCTGTGTTATTGTTATCTACTTTTTGTACACCTTTTTTAGCACCTGTTTGTAATAAATATCCTTCCTTTTTTTCACCTCACCACGCTTCCAGTTTTTGTTCCATACCCGGTTTATTTTAAGGCAAGGCAAGGCAAGGCAAGTTTATTTGTATAGCACAATTCGTACACAAAGTAATTAAACTGCTTTACAGAATAAGAAATACATTAAAATCATAATAAAAACAAATCAAAACATAAATAATCATGAAGATTAAAATTAAAAAAGAGAGACATAAATTGGAGAGAAGAGTGCTGAATGAAAACCTTTCAGTTATATGCACAGTTAAACAGAAATGTTTTGAGCCTGGATTTAAACAGCATCACAGAAGAGTCTGTCTCACATGTTCAGGAAGACTGTTCCAGGTTTTAGCTGCATGAACCTGAAACGCTGACTCCCCTTGTTTAGTCCTGACTCTGGGCACCAGCAGGAGGCCGGTCCCTGAGGTCATATGACACTAACATGTCACAGATGGACTTTGATGCTCGGCCATGGAGAGACTTGTACACAAGCAGAGCTGCATTAAAGTCTATTCTCTGAGCCACAGGAAGCCAGTGCAGAGACCTGAGCACAGGACTTATGTGCTCGTACTTCCTAGTTCGAAGTTCCTAGTTTTAACATCTTTTTCAGTTACCGTGCCACCCCCTAGACACCTGTGGCACGTAACAAGTCTTCTAGACCCTATGTTATCCTGCAAATGATTTAAGAGCATATTAATTTGTCAACAGGGATGAAACATTTCCTAGACAGACTTTACTGATCCACAAGGGAAATTATTACACATTATATTTATTATATGCACTCTCAAGTGTTGTAAATTGACACTATACTATCAACTTTTGTCCTGTTTTCTTCAGGTGGCAGTGATCATACCTTTCCGAAACCGCTACGAGCACCTGGGATACTGGCTTTACTACTTGCATCCCATATTGATGAGACAACAGTTAGACTATCGTGTCTTCGTAATCAACCAGGATGGAGAAGGAGTTTTTAACCGAGCTAAACTAATGAATGTTGGCTATGCAGAAGCTGTGAAGGTCTACGATTACGAATGCTTTGTTTTCTCGGACATTGATTTGGTGCCACTTGATGACCGTAACCTCTACAAATGCTTTGACAATCCAAGGCATTTAGCTGTAGCAATGGATAAATTTAATTTTGGTTTGCCATATAACAATTATTACGGTGGGGTTTCATCACTGTCCAAAGATCAGTACTTAAAGATCAACGGGTTTTCTAACACATTCTGGGGCTGGGGTGGTGAGGATGACGATATCTACAATCGGATTGTATTTCGAGGTATGTCTATCTCAAGACCGGATATGGTGACTGGAAAATACAAAATGATCAAGCACAACAGGGACTTGCACAATGAACCAAACCCGCAGAATCCTAGCAAACTTTGGAAGACGAGAAGAACAATGGACAGTGATGGACTGAACTCACTCAAATATACAGTCAAGAAGATAGTGAAGGATGTCTTGTACACATTTATTACAGTGGACATTCAGGCACCAATAAAGTAAGGAGCTGATATGTGAAGAGGGCGGATGTGAGTAGGACAGTTACTTTGCATTGACTTCAGTAACTTAATGAATAAACTAAACTTTTCAGAGCAGTTTTCACAGATCATACTTGTAGTAAGAACTGGTAAGCATAATCATTTGTTTGCAATAACATTGCTTTTACATTAAGGGAGGGTATTTCATTTCTTACATAACCTATCTGTGTCCCTACACATGAGGTAAACACATTAAACTCAAATATTGCTTTTATTGATAACAAGTGTAATGCTGACCTATTTTTAACAACAAAACATTTGACATTGGCCAAGTTCATGTTCTCATTTGGTGCTTTGGCTTTCCAGTCATTTATCCAAACAGAAGCCTAATGAGTCAGTTTGGATTGCTAGTTCTTATGACAGCTGGAATGCACACCGCTTAAAACTTTGCAAAAGAATGAGAAACATATATATGTTGCCAGCCTTATATACATATTGATTGTAATACATCTTAAGTCCATACTGGTAATCAGTTTTAGTATCGTTGTTTTTCCATATATTTCGAGTATGTACTTACTTGAGTCATTATTTGTGTCACTACTTTTTACTTCTACTTTTACATTTAAAAGTAACATTCCTCTTACTTGATTACAAATTTACTTTACTCATATATGGAAAGGGCATAAGTAAAAGGATGTGCTGTACCTGAAGAACAGTGAAAACAGTAACAGAATGGGAGAGCATGGTGATAAGAAGATCCCGCCCCATTTTTGTATTTAATTTTTTGTATGGATACAGCAATAACAGTGGATTAGATCTGTTGCAGATATTATTCCCTAAACAAAATAAGCAAAAGGCAGTTTTACATTCAAAACTGATAAATCATCTTCCAAAAGTTTTACAATCCAAACTCACAAACTTTGGTCATGTGTTTTTCTGTGCAGCTTAGAAGTCCTGATCTCAGGGACTACAAAGAATCATTGGTTCAGTGCAGTCTTCCTTTGGTGTTCACACCAAACACTGCACACTGGAGCTGTTTTCTGTCAATACATTAAAAATGTTTAAGTAAAAAATATAATTGACATAAATGTACATGTTACAGAGTTGCACACTGGATTTTATGATATTTTATCCAAATACTTATGCACAAGAAAACGGAAATGTTAGAATAGCAAATCAAAGATATTTCAGTTTCTTCAGCATAAATGTTATTGATCAAATACTGCAAAATCTACTTCACAATTTGTAATGTCTACATTTATATTTTACATAATACAATACAGACTAGAATGCCAAAGTTTTTCCAGTCCAAAATTTGTGAAGTGTGAACTCCATTTTCAGACACTACTAAACCAGTGATTCTCTGTGGTCACTGAGAGAAGAAGAGAGAGAAGAGAAGCTGCAGTCAAATGAATGACAGAGCACATAAAAACACATGAGAGAAAGAGTTTTGATGGTAAAATTTGCTTTTCGAGAATAACTGGTCAGTTTTGAATGTGAAACTGCCTGTTGTTGAGATAAAATGTTTTTAAGGAAAAATTTTGGATTTTGAGTGAGCTGTTTTGCAAATATCAGTTTTCAATAGATAAATGTGCCAAAACGATTGAAAAAAAACAAAAACATAAAATCAAGGTCATGTATGTTTCTGAATGTGTGAGAAAGAGCCTGAGAATCAAACTAAACAAGTTGCAAAAATGTGCTAAAACCATTGTAAAACTCAATAGTTATAGCGCAAGAACTAATGTTCAACACCTTTACCAAAAAGGAAATACTAAATATGTTTTGTAGTTCCACCCTAAGACTCAGGAAATAAGGCAAGCTAGGCATAGGCTACTATTGTCTTCAATATAACTATGCAATATTGCAAAAGCTGGTGTATAATAGGCCTAAAAAGAAATTAGTTTACCATATAAACATAAGCATAAGTGATTGTACTTGTATGATTACATGTAAGTTTGGATTTGCCTAAGTAAACCAGTTTGTAAACTAAGCAACTGAGAATCACCATCTGACTGGTGGAGAGTTTAGTTCAGGTCTGGACGCTGTTCAAGTAGTGACACAAATAAAGAAGAAGAACCAGTCTGACATCTTGCATGCCTTCTTTGAGGTTGAGGCATGGGCACAATGTCACACACTGTCCATCGTATCAACGAGAAAAGCCTGCACCTACTCCGTACCAAATAATTTATTTAATTAATAAGATTACAGGGATAAACTGCATGGATTATTAACACAAACAAATGTGACAAGCCCTTTCCTGATCTGCATAAACAGCAATTTACAAACTTAATTTGAGTTTGTTTCTACCTCTGATGCTGAGCCATTTTTACTTTGTTCATGTATGACTTATTATGAACATGGTGATAAATCAAGTAGCCTGTCAGTTAAAGTGTCGGACAGCTTCAAGACTAATGTCTCAAATTAAAGACACAACACCCAATATGGTTTCTGATTTAAAAGCACTGATGTTTTAAAAAGAGTATTGTTTTTCTTTATCCACAGTGAGTTCCTCAGAATTGTCTATTTTTTTTGGAAAGATGGGTTTTCACTGGTGTTTTTTTTAATTTATTGATAAAATAGCTGAACTATAGTGTATGATGAATCTTTTAAGCAAGGCAGAAGGCTTTCTGTTTTTTGAAGAAAGACAAGGACCCCACTTCTTGTGGCTCAAATAGGCTTATTTCCCTTCTCAATGTGGATGTAAAGATAATGGCCAAAGTGTTGGCAAACTGTCTTTATACCTTCTATTAGTTCAGAAGAATAATTATTCTGAGAAACTGATATTTGGGAGGAGCTTATATGTGAAGAGGCCAGAGGTATGTAGCACTAAGGTACACTGACTTCAGTAACTTTTTGAAGAAAATGGAGTAGCAGTAGTTTTCAGTTTACTCTAAGTAGTGATTTTCCCATATACTTGTTAGGAGTTCTACTTTAATATTATTTTGAATGAATGCTTCTGATATTTGAGCAACCTTCTTGGCTCCTCTATACACCAGATTCCATTGCTATTACTACGATGAAGAATATAAGGATTAGGTTTTCACATTAAAACAAAATAATAACTTTGTATTTTTTCATCTGTGGGTTGTATAAGATATGAGTCAAAAAAAAACACCATCAATGTTTGTCATAACATTATGTCTTATGTTTTTAAGTTGAGAAGTGCCATATACAATGTTATAAAACCAAATACTAAATTGTTACAAAAATCTGTAATGTTTACACCAAAAATATTTATTATCTCATATGTATATTTACAGTATTTTTGTTAAGTCTGATGATGTTTAATGTTCATTGAGTTCGTTAGACCAGTTGGACCATTTTAATTATTTTTTTATTTTTTTTTTTTTTTGATGATGTGATCCTCAGTTGAAATTTTCCAAATAAACTTGTAGAGTTTCAAATTAATTTCAAATTCAGTGGTCGGTGCATTTACTATGTGTGTCATAACAATGTACCTTTCTCACCAGAGTATGTATGTGGGTTAGTTTAGACTAGGCTAGGTTAATCTATCTTCCTCATTGCACCTCACCCATTTTTACTTTGATCTTTTACATGACCTGCACTTATGTTGTGATTCTGATTTCTATTTAGGCAGAAATTCCGTCAATTTCAGTAAGAGAAAAATCTGCTAAAATATTAGTAAGTTTATTTGTGTCCATGAGCATCAACAAATCAGCAATGCACCCTCTCTCTGAATGGCTTGAAAACAGCTTTATAATTTGTATATAACTTATTTGCTGCAGAGATTGGCAGCAGAAAACAAGTTGCATATAATGGTGTGGGAGATGTTACATTTTTGAATAGGAGGACTACTATCTCTCATGCACTCATGCCTCACAGCAAGAAGGTTCTGTGTTCGATCCCTGGGTTGCCTGGGCCTTTCAGTGTGGAGTTTGCATGTTTCTGCCAGTGTCTGGATGGGTTTCCCCCATCAACCCAAAAAACATGCCACAGGTCTCCATAAACAGCTGATAGTCAAGGTAAGTTAAAGACACTTCACCCACATTGCCTAGTATGAAAGTGGTGTGTGTGTGTGTGTGTGTGTGTGTGTGTGTGTGTGTGTGTGTGTGTGTGTGTGTGTGTGTGTGTGTGTGTGTGTGTGTGTGTGTGTGTGTGTGTGTGTGTGTGTGTGTGTGTGTGTGTGAGGGATGGTGGTGGTCGGAGGGACCGATGGCGCTGAGTGGTGTGGCAGCCGCGCTTCTGTCAGCGTACCCCAGGGCAGCTGTGGCTACAATAGTAGCTTACCATCACCAGGTATAGAGTGAATGAATAATGCTGAATAATGCTCTGTAAAGTGTCATTGGGGACAAAAAATGTCTGTGAAAAGCGCTATATAAATAAAGACTTACTTACTTACTTACTAATGATCACAGGTTTGATGAGTTATTATTCAGTTCATAACATGCTTTTTGAATAGATTATATGATGTTAGGTCTCTTATGCTGCCAGGGACTGAGTTCCACTCATGAGAAGCTGTGATGAAAAAGAATGCACTTTTCCTCAGGGGAACGATGCAGTCTCCTCAAGTGATTCACTGTGTGGTGGTTCTGATTCTGATAAACTGAAACAGTGGAGGAGATGCCTGGCTGTGGATGATTTTGTAAATGAGACAGAGGTTTGAATACTTGATGAGGTTTTCCCAGCTTAACAGGTTGTGCTTTTGTAAAATATTGCAGTAGTGATATCTAGCTTTTTGTCCAGTATTTTTATTGTCTGTTTGTATAGTGATTCTGTGGGTTTTAGGGTGATTTTGTTTGCCTCAGACCAAGTAGTTAAACAGTAAGTGATGTGTGATAGGACCATTGAATGCATGAACATTTTTGCCGCCTGCAGAGAGAGGAGGGATCTGATGTACCGGAAGTTTGACATATTAAATCGAGTGACGACTTTTTTTAAATTTGGGACTTAAATGTTAGTTTTGAGTCTATTGTTATACCAAGGTATTTGATTTCTGACACAGTTTGAAGTTTTTGTATGTTTGTAAGTGGATTTGGAGAAGAACACTGACACTGTTTTGCTGATGCTGAGTTTAAGGCAGGACTGATTTAAC